GGGTCGACCATATCTGACCTTCGGACTAGTTAGTCCACTGTTCTGAATGCGGCATAAGAGACCAACACATGTGTAGGGGGCAAAGTGCAAAATATACGGTAACCATTCGTTTTAACCATTTTCAAACTCTTTTTTGTCTCTTTGGGTACATGTACATGTAGGTAACACATGGAGTTGCAAGCATAGCATACAAGTCAGTTCGGTTTCTGAATGGATACCGAATGTTACCACTAATGTAATCACTGCTGTGAGAGAAATGTAATACAAGATGAACACTAACCCCGGTGGATGTATTTCAGGTCCCATGTGAAGGTTACATCAATTTAGCAATGGATCAGTACCCCGTATACTGTTTACATTTCGTGCACTGCATGTACATTGTAAGTAGGCCCCTTAAATGTTTTACAGTGATGTTAAGACACATTCCTATTGCAGAAATATGTTTCTGCTCGTCTCAGATGAAAGGGATATATGTTCATCCTACAACTAACTGAAATCCACACAGCACGCCTCCAAACCTAATGTTAAGTGAACCTGTCGACTACCCATGGCTTTTGAATGCCTTCCCGATATCTAATTGAAATCTGTTCACTATTGGGCCAATGTGCTAACTGTAATGATTTTCAGTGGATAAAAGATACGATAATTTCGCACCGGAAAAGGGCCAGTAGCATTTCCGATATTGGTCAACCATTTAGAATTGCAATCAATCCCTCATTTTGTGTAATTAAAAAAACGTAGCTTTAGTGAGCCGGGCAGGACGTTTACACATCCTGTGTCTTCATTGGTGACAGCATGAGGTCACAGTGAGGTTAACGCGAGGATATTCGGCCAACAATGAGCTATAAAGATGAAGAAGTAAGTCCAATGTTGCTTTGGGAAATAACCTAGCACTGATCAAGAAATCTATATGAACGCATAGAGGAGCATTCTACAGCAATCCATTAGCGTTCACTAGCTGTGATTCAATTCGATTCTGTATCGAGGGTATTATTTTTCAGGACTAAAAATATCCATTTTCCCCCAATAATTTATCATTGGGAATGGATTCCTTCAAAAGCAACATATTTTGAGCTAGATTGACGATTTCGGTGTAAATACTGAAGAAAAGCCTATGTTTCAAGTCCAGGTTGATTTTAATTTGCCAGTTTTAAATGAAAGCTAAGGGCCACTGTACTTACATTGTATCTCAACTCCTCAATGCTTTCGTGTGCACATTCGTTTTTTTTTTTCACCTGTCCACCCATCCCTTACTCAAAGTCAATCAAAACAAAGGTGTAAAGAAAGATATATATCAGTAGTGCGATTTACCTGAGTACCACCAGCGTGGCCTCACGTAGGAGTTCTCGGTGCGCATGGTTGGTTATGATAAATGCAAACAATAATTGTCTTGTATTTTGCATTAGGACACTTAATTGGAATTACATCTGGGAGCGGCACATTTAAGGTTAGAGCACAGTTGTAACGTAATGGATGTACGTTTTTCCCCCACGAGACTCATCATGAAAGTTTACAAAGTGAAATGACGTTGTCCTTGAGAGTAGGCCTACGAGACAAACCGCTTCAACCTTTGAAAAGGCAAAAACTACTTTCTTGCAAGTATGCATATTCTCCTATTTTTAATTTTGTGGAGGGGCGTCCAATAGCAACCTACACATTTAACTAACTCCTGGTACTTAAATCCAACACTGTGTCCTCATTTCATGTTCAATCCAATATGTGCCACGACACCTTACTGTAAGTATAGAACTTCATCAATTCGTGCAGAATAATTATCTTAACTCTCGAAATAAAAATAATATTACATTCATTTATTATAGACTACTATGGACCTTTCTTTTTTAGTATTTTCATATCATCACAAATTAAGAATGTTTCGACGCGCTCTTATCAAAAATACTTAAACCAATGAGAAAATAAAACATTTTCAAAGTCAAATAGGCCTATACAAGGCGTGGGGTTACATAAGTATTGCACCATTTAATTTTAAGATATAATAGTTGAATTAATTGGATTTTTCATACAGTATTTTATTGAAATTTGGTCAATTCAAGTGAATAACTTTAACTACAGACTTGAAGGCCAGTGCTTTGCCCTTGCATAAACCATGTTATTGTGCCAGTATTAGTATTTTGTAGGATAGCCACATGACTTCAAAATGGCTACCGTCCTCCTGGGCATAAAGTCATAAAAGTGAAGTTATCTCTGGGGACTATGTTGGCCCAGGCTCTAAGAACATCTAGATCTTGGTTTAGAGAGTTTCTGGTAAATTTTATTCCACAGGTTTTCAATGGGGTTTACGTCTGGGTATACGCCTGTCATTCTAGCCGGTTGGTACCTTGATTATGAAGCCTGTTGGTACCTTGATTATGAAGCGGTGGAATGCCCTGTCCATTGCTTTTTGCCACAGTCATCCTGAAAAAAATAACGGATAATGTATGTGCCCAAAGATGCTCTCTATTCATTTTATCACTTATCCATCCACTTTGTTAAGGGTGAATGTGAACTCATCGGAAAACAAAAAAATTCGACATACGTTCTATGCAATGGTTCTCGCAGCCCTTGTCGCTCTTCTCTGCTCATCTCTGTCATGCAAAATACTTACGTATCTTTCCTCTCAAGATATTTATAATACTACATTTCCAATCTTTCAAAATTGACGCCACAGCTTGGACCCATGATAATGTGGCATTCATTACCTTTAAAACTCTTTTTATGTGGGCGAATTCGTGGGGTTATAAACATTTCATATTCACTCCCTCACCACCCTAAATCCCTCCTGATATTGCCCACCATAGGAATGATATCATTGAGACGTGAGAAAATACACAACTGTTTTCACTTACAGAGATAATACAGTCCCTACCGTCAGTGTATTACACCTACGAGGTACTTCGAGTATTTTAATTGTGACGGCTATTGCTTATATGTTCAGTTTTTTTTACTAACTGTTTTGAATAAGCCATTGTTCCATGCATTCACAAATGTTGAGTTAAGCAGACGTACAGTTCTTTGCTGACATGACGCAAGTGTTCTTGCACTGTTCGAAAAAAAAAATATATATATAGGGGCCTACATGAATTTTCCGTTGGTGTATTCCTCAATTTGCAGTAGAATGCGGAAATGCCAGACCTGTTGTTTTCGTCTGATTGGACGTAGCGGTGTTATGTCAATATTACGTGTCAGAAATCCAGCAGATACTGATAAACCTATTATGCCCTTTAGTTATTTCAAATAGAGAACTTGGTTTGGATAGCTGAATAGAACTCACTATAATCAATTTGAGAAGTGAAAACGGCCATTGCTTTAGATGTGCTCACACCATTTTTGCAACACATTCGCATTTCCAGAGAGCTAGGGCCTACGCCATTCCTGATTTAAAGCTATCCCGGAAGATTTTTGTTGCTGCTGTTTTGAATAAAAAATTGGACCCTCACAATAGTTTCATATTCAAAACGTGTTAAAAATCTTAAATAGACAAAGACATAATATGGATATCTCGAGTGCAGAATAGGTTAGTAATTTTTTGGTAGGCCCTATTCGAGAGACCTCCTACCCACATAAAATAGAACAAAAGATAATTCAATAATTAGATAATGTTACATGTATTATTTGTTTTAATTTAAAAGTTGCTTTCACAAAATCAATAATTCACAAATGATAAGTTGCAGATTGCCTGTTCCCATTAAGAATAGATTTGGTTTGTCTCAAACTTTTTAGATAGAGGTAAATATTCTTAACAAGAGATAAAGAAAACATTTTTCAATTGAATTGGAGAAATAAACATATTTGCATATATCGCTAGAAAATTTATTTGTCCAAAAGGTTGTAACTGATCTGAATTGCAAGTTAGTGAATACCTCTCTTAAGTCGGCTGTAAACGGGCAGTCACACAGAACATGCTCCCCAGTTGGCACGTTCTTGCAAATGCACGTACAATTTTCATACGGGGCCCTCGACCAGCGACCTTTTTCCACCATAAGGTCATAAGCTGATAAGACGGCTCTTTAATGACAATTAATGTATTTATGAAGCTAGGGTTAGATTCTGTATATGACTGAGATTTCTTTTTGTCCGATATTCCAACCCTGGCTTCTCAATTTGATGGTATAGGCCCTAATGTACATTTTGAAAGAGCGATTCAGGTTGAATTCGGGTTTTGTAGGCCATAAAAGCGATAATGATTGTGTAAAGTATGTCAAAATGTGTGCTACTTCTTTGAAGAATATCGCTTTTCCACTTGCTGTCAGTTAGGTCTCACTTCAGCTTATCTGATAAGGTCCTCTGTTTGTTTTTAAGTACTAGTAGGGCCTAGGTACATGTATTTACCGGTACATGTACATGTACATGCACCGGATGCATGTACATCAGAAATAAGACAATAGGCCCTTTAATCACTGGTACCAAATATAATGACTGGTCGAGCTATATAATTCGGTCGTATTGAAAATTGCTTTTTCAAGAAAAGTTAGGTTTAGCCGCCGATATAGAAAGTATATGGAAAGGATTTCTAGGCTTGTCTGACCTTTTTGACCCCCCCCCCCCCCCCTTAAATCCTCGACTGCATAGCCCGTTTACAAAAGGGGGACCATCTGCTACCGAGGGACATGTCGGAAGTTTTAACACAGGCCGTCTGTCCATTTCCACAATCACAGGTGACTAAATTCATTTCATTTTCATTTTATCGCCCCTTCCTTATGTTTCTGAAGAATAGGCCCTACGACAAGCTGATAAGACATAAGACACGTACAACATCTTCTCGACACATCTTAACATACATGTACAGTATTTCGCGCGACCTTGTATTTCAGCCGGCGTTACAATAGCATTTTTCAATTTGTGATGACTATATGCTGTCACCCAGTGCACTTGTAAATACATTACACTAAGTGTCGTCTCAGGTGCTGGACAGGGGTCAAACAGACAAATGACCTAACCGTCCCGGTCGTGCAATACAATGTAGAGGCTGATTGCGTCGTGTGTGGTGGATGGGAAGAGGGGTGTGCACCTGAACCGGTCCAATGGTTGGTCAATGATCCAACCTTGAACTTCATATACTCCAATTACAGAAGAGCAGTCAAGGTCGTACACGCACAGGAGGTAAGTTTCAACACCTCGGTTTTTGCCACGCTCAACTATTACTTTGTTCTGTTTGTTCAGATAATGAATCTTAAAAATGAATTTAGAATAATACAGTAGTCTATCATAGTGCAAAATTTGCGATTAAATTCTGTTTAGCATTGAAAAAAATTAAATGAAATCACCATGTGTACTTGCTTCAGTTTTCGGCCTGCAGGTACCTCTAGCACATTGGATGAGGTACCGCAGATAACAATGAGGTAAGGCCTCAGACCACCCAGTGTATCAAACTCTCGAGGCTATAGGTATCCACGTCCTGGCAAAGCTGCGCGTCCTCGGTCGGTTGCTCGCCGCTTCTCTGAGCTCAGTTTGTCCACCTATAAATTAATAATAGTGCATGCAGCTGCAAAATACAATATTTTATCTTGTTACCATCATGTTCGCACATATGCTTTGACAGCAGTCAGTATCCCTCGCAGAATTTGAAATATTATTTTAAGCTTGTTGGTGTAAACTGTACTTGAGCTAAGGCATAAATTATGATAAAAGAACAAGAACTCTCAACTAACAGTGTTTCAAATGTCATGTTGTGTCTTTATTGTCTCTAGGGGCAAGTATACAAATTTTAATGTTTACATGCAAAAACGTGGAGGAATTTTAGGTTTCCAGTTTATAATAAGACTGAAATTACATGCTTTACTCTTTCTGCAAAGTATGGGCCCAGTACAAGACTATTTTTGCACAAGCTTTTCTTAAGGAAATTAGCTTTTTAATCTATATTAATATAATTGCCAAATTCAAAGAACAACACAGGTGATGTATAGTAACCTTATTTCAGCTCTTATTTAAATTATAATCATGTTTTTTTTTTGTATTTCATGATAATATTTTATGTTTTTCATGATATGTAGATTTTTGAAAATTCAAGGTACATTCAGTAACTGCCTACGCTGAATGGCTGAAATCCAGTTGATAGAGGCGCCAGCACCTCACCAACAGCCACCAGACTATACTAGGCTCAATGATCTAGCATGTAGCAAGGTAAGAAATTATTGTCTGTCTTTGTGTCTGTCGGTATGATTGTTCTTTGGCACGTGTGTGTGTGTGTGTGTGTGTGTGTGTGTGTGTGTATGTGTGTGTGTGATGTCCTTTGGTACGTGCATGTGTGTGTGTGATTTGTCCTTTGGTACGTGTGTGTGTGTGTGTGTGTGTGTGTGTGTGTGTGTGTGTGTGTGTGTGTGTGTGTGTGATATTTTGCAATTGCTTAATATATTATTGAAGGAAAGATTTTGATTTAAGTTATCCTATCCAAGATATTTATGCCAAATCAAATTTTCCTCAAGAAAAAAAAGCAATGTAGTCCTACTCACAAATTATCTGTTCCTGAACTTGGATTGGATACTTTGTAGCATTTTTAATAAAACAATTCAGTTATAAATGTTTGGTAAACATTTAGACTAAAATTTCTCTTCTTGACATTTCACAAGATATGTAGTGCACGGAACTGGGAATGACAGAATTTTCACTTTAAAATATGAAAATGGCCACAGAGTTTCATGTTGTCACCTTGTATTGTGTATAATATATATATATATATATATATCCTTGAGTTTCTCACATGGAGTGATGGAGAGATGGTCATGCTCACAAGGTTCTAATTCTCAAAAAGAAATACATCTGGTGCTCTCAGACAAGCTTGTATTTGAAATTTTTTTTCATTTTTAAGGTCAAAATTGGGAAAGATGAAAATCTTTGCAGGATTAAAATATGACTTTGGGACATTTTCAAATACATGCTGGATTAGACTACAGTAGATACTATATTGTGCATAAAGTTTTTTGTTAGTAAAATAAATGTGAATAGAATTATGATAAAAAATTCAAGGTTGTGTTGAGATAGACGAGAAGTGGCAAACATATGTAGATGGATTCAAAGGAAAGTTTTATACATCTTTTGATAGGTTGGAGGTTGCATTGTATTTGCTTCTGATGACTGGTTTGCTGAGGCAGAAAATCTTTTAAAGGTATTTTTGATGTACATTTTGCTGTTATTTGCTTTGTAACGATTGATGACTGACTACTTCAAGGAAAGCAAGAAAGTACAAAAAGATTTAACTGAAGGCAGTATATCTCATGAACTCTTAAAAATAAAACATTCCTATTGTGTGGTAGCAAAATTTGAAATTTTTATTCTTTGCAATGAAAGCATCATAAATCCTATTTAGAAATATTTTTATGATACTAAAATTATATATCTGAAAGATTGATCATTTTTGCCCACTGAAAAGATCTAGAAATCACTGTACATTTTCGTAAACTTTTTCCTGTGACCAAAATAATTACAGTAAAAAGGAAAAATCTTATTGCTTTATTTTATCACTTAGCTGAAAAATTGGATTAAAATAATTCTGAAGTATTTGGAACAGTAATTCCTGTATTTGATCATGAATTCAAATGAATTTTTCAGCCGAACATCCCAGAATGGAAGGAGGGTGTATTCACAGAATATGGAAAGTGGATGGATGGATGGGAGACAAGAAGGAAAAGAATTCCAGGACATGATTGGGCCATCATTCAACTAGGTGTGTATATATATTCAGATGTACACACTGTTTTCATTAACATAAACTCTGAAAACTACTCAATTGATTTGAAAATGGGTGTTTGATGAATGTTCTGATTTAGAAACATTATGATTTATCAGATACAGGGAATAGCCAGCAGGTGCCATTGGTGTTTTTGCGAGTGCTTGCCATTTTGCAAGATGTTACACCCTGGAAATAAGTTGCTGCTTTTGCAGTGCAGACCTCCACTGAAAGCATTGACCCGTGTGTGAAATTTCAGTGAGATATCTCTCATACTCCAATGTCTCTTGCAATGACTCTTCATCTTGGGTCACCATTTCTCACATTATTTTATGACCTGCTTCCATGTACTGTTGAGGGATGACTATGTCAAATTTTGGCTTTGAGTTCAGAAGGGAAAATCGCCTAACTTAACCACAGATTTGGTGCTTTGTTGAAATTCGGTGACATAGGCCTTTATGTTTCTGACCTTGGAGGTAGGGTTGGGCGAAATGTGGAAAGGTCAGAAACATCAGCAGATTGACTTGCCCTGCTGTACTGGTTTGGATAGATACATGTCTAGGATATTAAACTAGCCACAAGATTTATCTTGTGCTGCTTCATGCATCAGCACTGGTTTTGCATCTATGGATTGCTCTTTATTTGAGATTTAGGCTGATTCAGGAGACCCTCTGATTTCATCTGTAGCTGGCTGAGTGAGAGAGATTTACTGATATACTTGCTCAAACTTGCGTTATTCAGTGGCTTTATGGACCTCTTGCATTCAAAGACATGTTCTCTAAGTAAAACAAGTGTTTATTTGTTTCATTCTTCCTTCCTGACCCAGCCTTCTAGTTCTTTTCTGGTATCTATATCAGGGTAGAAGTCCAAAATATGAATGTCTAAGAAGGCAAATGCAAGAAACTTCACTGAGGACATATGAACTGAAGCACTTGGTACCTAAATTAAAACTTTGGCTAAGATCAAGGTCTGGGTCTGGGAGAACATTCACAACTTGACTGCCATCAGTTTTAGTTACAACCTCTGTATCAGACCAAGTGTTCAAATAGTCTCTGGCTAAATGCTTCTGTGGTTTGAAGGGAATCAAGAAACTGGCCTCCGATATGGTATCATTACTAGCAGTGCCTGTTAACTGAAAGTGAATTGTCAAAATGAATAAACCAGGTTTTCTTTCAAGCAAGAGATATGATGTTAATTTGAAATAACCTGTTGTATATTTCTTAATTTACCTATCTTTTACTTAAAATAATGCTTTGCTCATAATAATACAGGGAGCAAAAAAGACTATTTACTCAGTCTATTTGCCAAGTTACCTGTGCAACATACGTAATCCTTCTAACACTTATGTATGGTCCAAATTTTGGGCATGTACCTGTAAATGGATTTTAAAAAAATTGAAGAGGGGTACTTTTTCATGTACTGAAAATATTTTTATATCATGATTATGCTTTCTTGAACACGAGTTTGTTTGACATAACAAACAAGACTTTCATCCATTTTAAAAAGGCTACCAGTAGATGCCTATGCCTTTTCTTTCGAATGTTTTTGACTTCATTAGAGATGTGGTGCATCAAATATGCATCATCAGGGGCAGATTGAGGTCATCTTCTGGAAGACGGTCAGATTTTCAAGTTTACATTGACGGGTGTCTAATTTTTTTTCTGTCGGAAGACGGTCAAAAATGAAGGATGGTTCAATAAAGATAATTTGGAAGACTGTCAGAAAATATGTCTGGATCCCCCCCCTCCCCCCCCGATCATGGCAGAGGTCATTACTCTGTTACAGGCTCATGGCAGGAGCAAGGCTAGTATGTGATGCTTTGACCGAAAAATTAAATTTACTTGCTAGTTGATATACAGTAATTGTCCTTTACTACATGTAAATAGTTTTTTTAATGATTTAACTGAATCAAACACCTTTCTCCATGAGGGTGGTGATTGTCTCTGTGGGGAGTTTGATAACCTCTTTCTGTGCTTTACATTCTAAATATTCAGGACCCTTGACCATTTTACAACTAGTTCCAAACTAGGACAATCCGTATCTGTTGTGTAGTGTGAAGCAAAAGTCCAGACACATTACTACGTTGTTGCTATACTCATCCTTATTAATATTGCTGCTGCTGCTACTACTGCCAAAAGTGGGATGGCTAAATTTGCCTTTAAGAGAATGAACCAATGCAAATGCACATACTATCATCATCATCATCAGGCTGATCCTCTATATATGGAAGATTGTCCACACACTCCATGGGCCAAGCCCCTCCATTTTTTACTATCAACTGCCGTCCTCATGACCTCAATTAAACTTTTTTCTTGTCCATTTTTGGATGTTGATATTTCATCCATGTACCATGCAAGGACAATATAGTGTGAAGTTGCCCTCCCTGCAAGTCCTGATTGGGATGTTTAAATAGTGTCTTTGGCAGTATTCTTCCTCTGTATTTTTTTATTGGTGTATCTGTCGCGGTCACTGTCTCTTTCTGACACATGACGTTCACCCCATAACTGCCAAAACGTATTTTGTCTTACTTTAAATTTACTAAGTGACTTTGTTTGGTAAAGAGGCAGGTTGCTTTCAGAAATGGGCATGATCGTTTTTACACTTAAGGTAATTATTCTGTTTTTTGCACAATTTTGGTGATGTTTGCCCCATAACTTCCAAACCATATTTTTTACTTTAAATCTATATAGATTGGCTTTGTTTGGTAAAGAAGCAGATTGCTTTTGACAGTCGGCATGACGGTTTACGTTAATTTTTTTTGTGTGCATGAATTTTTTTTATTTTTTACACTTATGCATTTTCAGTGGCTTTTATATCCCTTGGAACTGAATCATTTGCTAGTTTTTCAATCTCCATGCTAACTGTAAAACATAATGTAAGAGGGTAAGAGTGATTATGCTGTGTTAAGGGGCCCGCACGGTGAGCATTTGGTGTGCGCCACTTGCGCTGCGCTGTTTTCTTATCATGTGCGGGCGTATTTTGGTGAGATTTTTGCCTCTCGCGCGGCTGAGCAAAATATCTCACGTGTTTGATATTTTTGGTCTCTTGAGGCAAATGTCTCAGCGTGTGCTGGGTGCAAGCCCCGATTGCTCACGCCATGCCAACAATGCGCATGTGCGGGTAGCCGGAAGCAAAGAAAAATGGCAGCCCCCAGCGAAGTAAACAAAAATGTACACAGTTAGACTGATTGATTAACGTGAACACCATTTCCCATATTTTCAGAAAAAAAATAAATATGTAATGTTTCCTTAATCACATGATGCCTCTTTGCAACCCCACAAATGAAATTTGTGCAAAATTGTTGGTAAATAATAACTTTTGCTGACTCATCGCATCATGAGGATGATGAGTCTTATTGAATATTTGATATATAATATTTATCCCTAAGGCCATAACATTTAATACAGGCAACAATTTGCTACATTGTTGTTATTGTTAAAACGATCAGGATAGAGGGGTTATATAATAAAAGCGGCCTTGTTTGGCCAAATCACGAACAATCAATACTCCTTGTTGCCTTCTTTCTTGCTATGAATGAGACCATAAAAGTTTGTGGTACACTGAGATGGAGGAGACATAAATGTAATGTTTCCTTAATCACATGATCCCACAGTTCGCGGTGCGTCCGATAGGGGCAGGCCGGGAGGCATCTCTGCTGAGCAAAGAGCGCATCGTTTGTGGGGAGCTGAGGAGCGCGAGCATCTGGCGCAGCGCAAGTGGCACGCGACAAGTGCTCACCGTGTGCAGGGTGCTTTAAAGCATTATCTAACAGAGCATCAAAATTGGCCTTAAAAATTTGGTGCATTTTTTTCTGTGTAATGTTTAAACATTTGTTAGCTTTACTGCCTTGTTTCCTATATGATGTCTGTAAATTTGCCAGCTTTGCTGTCTAGTCTTTTGTATGTTGCCTTTTTTTTTGCTTTTCTCTCTGCAGAACAAGTGGTCATTATCTCAATGTCTTTTGGGTTTTCTGCTCTTTTTGGGGGGGTGGGCAAGTGAAATTTTATAACAATAATAATACATGGCAGAAAAATGCTAATGATGACTGCATAATCTGAAGTGAGGAATTAAAGCAAATAGCTAAATGCATGATTTTTTCTTATAAAGTACTTTCCCTGTCAATTGTATCATTGACACAAACTGAAGTTTAGTCAATATTTGCTTTGAGACCGTGGATAGGGGAGATCATTTTATCATCCACAGTGCCAACTTCTGTAGAACCGAAACGTTTTGCCGGTCTTTTTTCAATCGCGTTGTTCCCATCTGGAACGCCCTTCCCATTTGCACACGTTCAGGGGTTGGCAGATCAATGTTTAGACGATCCGTCAGAGAGCACTATAGTACTCTTTTGGTGGAGCGCTTTGACCCCGAGAACGTTTGCACTTGGGTGGGTCGTTGCAGATGTACACATTGTCGTTTTTAGATGTACACATTGTCGTTTTTAGTAGTAAAGTAGAGTTTTTATTTTTTATCATTTGTATATCATTGGGGGGTGTCCATTCATGGGTCATTGACCCTTTAGGCAAACCCTTTTGGGTACAATCTTATTTTTGCATTATTTTAAAGTGACGTCGCACTATTAGTTGTAAGTTGTTTTATTATGCTTTTTAAAAATCTTGTATATAATCTTGTACCCAATTAAGTCATTCAAATCAAATCAAATATCAATTGATTTAATATTACTTGAAGCCTTGAAGGTTTAATAGAAGTGTACACTAACACAAATTGCTGTGCAAACTGCATGTCCTTCCAGTTCTAATCAGCATCAAATGTGATCAAAATTTCTAAAATGGACAGTAAATTCATATGATCAGTACCAAACTTTCAGACATTTCAGACACCCGTGTATGCTCATGGTGGTAGGCCCAGGTAGGGAGTAGAGACATAGGGAGAATGTCTATGAATAGGGTGGAATATCCAAGCACCTTCTGACTATGTCTTATGTTCAGGATGACCTGTTTTGATTGTGATGCCTTTTGGGGAGTAGGTGAACTCTCTGGCTTTATGTATTATACTACAGTTTGACATGCAAAGTCAGTGCCATACAGGGTCACAGTGTTGTGAGTGCAATGTGGATGTAAAAAGGTGTCAATGACACATGCACTGTAAAAAAATGTTTGTCTGGCATTTCAGAATTATTGTTGTTGGTTTTGAATTGTATGTGGTGTTTTTCAGCACAGGCATCAAATGTCTGCTCATGAAACTAGGTCAGACAGACAACTTTGGTGTGTTAAAGACTATGAATTCCTACAAAATATTATTTTGTCACATTTAATAGGCCCACCTCTCTTAATGCTACATTTTACATTTATCATTATAATTACTGAAGATTGAAAATGAATGAAAGTCTTTAGAGGCCTGTGCTGACAGAAACTTAATATTTAAAAAAAGCCCTTATCGCATGCTTTCATAGCACTTTGCCTAGATTTCTTGATTGCTAGGGCCGCATTCTTGCAACTGTTTGAAAGCCAGGCAATAAGCTTTGCGTACATCACTTAGTTTGGTAATGAGGTATAGATATTTGATGCCTGTGCTTTGTTTTTCAGGTGTCTCAGGTGTAATTTTTGGCGTTGATGTGGACACTTCTTTTTTCACTGGAAATTACACTCCAAGAATCTCAATCCAGGCTGCAAATTTGAAAAAAAGTGAGTGCTTCCATTCTAGGTTAGTATTTATATTTGAGATATTTGCAGAATGTGCATTAGCTGTAGCAACTTGTGTTTCTTTTAAGGTTATAAAAGACTTATAAACAACACAACTTAAAACCTGAGGCATTACCTGAAGCTAGAAAATATGAAGTTTGAAATCTGAACTGCATTTGAGATTTGATGATTACTGTGTACCCTGCTTTTTTTTTTACGGGTAATTTGAAACATTATTGCACACTTTTGAAATAATTTAACCAATTTTAGAATTTCCATCTCGTAATGGGAAGCCTGGCAAAGCAGCTACTGAAGCTGAATATAAGAAGATTGCAGCATTAAATTCAGAGGTTAGTCTGCTGCAAGATCACCATCTGAGAACTATGCTCTGTCATCACAAATAATCTATTGGTTTTGCTTGAACAGAGAAGCCACAAACAAACATAGCATACAACACGTCCATATTATGAACTTAATCATACATGGTGTGATGAAAGATTGGGTATTTAAGTGTCTTATCATTGAACTGTAACAGACATTTTTTTGTATGCCCAAATACGTAAGTGATTATCTGATAAAGCTATCTACTATGATACAAGTCAATTTAGTGAAAAGTTCTTATATGAAAGTTCTTATATGAAAAGTTGATATATGAAGCCTACAAATAGTAAAATGAAATTTTTATGACTCTGAATCTATATATTATACTGTTTAATTCAGTATTGATGCTCCAAAATTTAAATAAATTTTCATTGTGATTATATTTAGATAATCATTTTTTTGTTCATATTATTCATTTCAGAATTGGGAGACAATTGTTCCAATATCAGAGTTAAAGCCTGGGTACAAAACATCATTTCATAACTTTTTTAGAGTAAAAAGACAGCAACTGTGGACTCATCTGAGGTTGAACATGTTTCCAGGTATAGAACTTGACTAGTTTTCAAGATTCATAGAAACAAGATCATATGATAAAAGAATACAAAAATAGCACTTGGTATAATGTATATTATTATTTAGTGAACAAAATCCATACAATTCTATTGACTAAAAACCCTGGTATGTTTCTGTATTAATGATAGATAGGGACTTTTCTATCATGGTTACTTATTTGGCATCATATGTTTGCAGATTGAATGGTCTAGAAGGACATTTTTCAATTATCCTAAATTTGCCATTTCCAGGGCTTCTGGGTTCATGTGATCAGTAGTGCTATTCCATTCCATAGCTTGATCATCATAATGTCAGGGCTATGCTACTGGGCTGGTGCAGAAGTTCGGGGGAAAAGTAAAAAGACAGCAACAACCTATACTGGTGAAATACTCTTCATTGCAAAAAAAAAAAACAAAAAAAAAAAAAACAGTTTCTTTTCAGGGGCAAAAAATGCTCATGATCAAATAAGGAAAACATGAAGATGACATGATTTGACAACATGCCATCACAATGGTCTTATGGAGGAAAAAAGAACACACAAATTCAACCCAAAATTGAACCTTTACCAAATTTTGCCACCGTTCACCAAGTTGCTGCCTGTGTCTGACAAACTTCACTGGTTTTCATACAATGGCTTAAGATACCCTTATTGATGACTTGATGTTTTTACAGAGTTGAATTAAATTTTTTTTGCTTCTTTGTATGCCAGGTTTGTGTCTGTGTTAGCAGCTACCATTCTGTGGGATGTTTTTCTTCCATTAATTATTGCTATATGTTGTGTTGTGGTCAACATCATCAGCAACACAACTGAAAGTGTTCAGAAGTATAATCTGGCACTCTGTTCCTTGAGCCACTGATGCATTAAGTGTAATCTCAGCAAGAGGAAAGCTTACATTTGTGAAGAGTGGATACTAGAAAACAATGTAACATGATGATACATTTACCCCTGTGGGTGTAAACTTGTATTATGCACTGACCAATTGAAGCTTTTTTACATCTTCTCTTTTTGCTGGAACCATTATTAATAGTATAACTTGGGTTGTTTTGAGGGTTTGATTAGAAGCTATGTCTCTGTGTCTGGATCAAAATCTCTCTTGCCTCTATCAATACCACATCCTTTCCTAGATCAGTTTTAGCTTTGGTAATTTGTGACAACCGTTCATGATGGTGTTTCCTGCACCACACAATGTAACAGCAAATTTTTTCACTAGTTCATTTATTACCACTCAGTTCTTACTTTCGTTTCTTCTTTATATTCCTGGTACTTTAGGACTTTTTATCTCCTTTTTATAGGCCATTATGTCATTTACTGTACCAAATGGTGTAGTCAACTGTACATCATTTTTTTTTTTTTTTTGCAAAAATTTAGGTGCTTCATTGAAAGCTGCAACCACTTGCAGATTTCTGCCCTCCCAGCCTTATATCTTTTGCTGAGTCTCCAGAGGGGAAAATTGTGAATTTTTCAGATGTTGCATTTTTTAAGTCATAAATTCTTGAAATTAGAACATTCATTTTGAGTGGTAGCAACAAAACTGAAAAACAGACTACCTTATAGTTCTATTTTCTACAGAAAAAGCATCATAGATGCAACACAGAAATATCTTTTAAATTACTCTAAAATAATGTATCTGAAAATTTGATAAATTTACCCATTGAAAAGATTGAGTCATTACTGTACAAGTGTTTTTTATTTTAGATGGAGGTATTGCCAGGCTGCGGGTGTATGGTCAAGCCAAGAGGGACTGGTCACTGGTGGACAAGGACACTGTTGTGGACCTGGTAGCTATGGTCAATGGTGGTGTGTGTTTGGGCAGTAGTAATGCCCATTTTGGCCATCCCAGAAATTTAGTGGCACCAGGCACTGGGGAAAACATGGGGGATGGCTGGGAAACCGCAAGGAGAGTAAGTAACGTGCACATGAAATTATCCATTTAGATTTTATTTTGTATTATATACAAACACTTTGCTGTCTAGTTGTAAAGTTGTCATTGGTGTTTCAAAGTTGATACATTCTGTCAAAGAACAATGTAATGTAGTTTACTTGGTGATTTGTAGACAAATCACACCAAACATTTTTGTTCAGTGGAACAGTGTTCAGAGAAACAATGCAAAATCATCTACAATGAAAAGGCCAAACTGAAGATTTTTTTGCTACCAACCTGAAGATTTTTTTCAGGATTGTCAATGAATGAAATGAATTTTTCATGATAAACAATATCAAACTGAAGTCTTATCAAAACTTTGACAGTACTGTATTTCTTAATGCTAGCTGGATAGGCCTGCGGTCTTAACTGCAGATAAATCAGGAGTTCTTCAAGTACCAGGTAAGTGTAAATTATTTTTCATTTAATCGCCACACAGTGTTTTTTTTTGTGTGTGTGTGTCTTGTTACAAAAGGATTAGCTTTATCATGTTTTTGTTTGGTAGAATCATAAATAATCTTTAAACCACATTAAAAAAACAGAGGTAATGCTTTCAATGAGTATGATGATCATTAAGCATAACTAAAATTAACTGATATAACCATTTTAGGATGTGAATGGGCTGTGTTCCGTTTAGGATGCCCTGGAGTTGTGAAAGAGGTATGCAAATGTTTATTGGATGAAAATTTGTTGAATGTAGGGGATTGAATGTATAGACATTAACATTATATAAAATTACAGACATGTTAACACATACTTTAAAACATGGATAAAAAATACAATTATGTTAAGAAGAGTACACTTACACACTTTCATGCATGTAAGCCAGGCTTAAAGAAAAATACATTGTATATTTTTAAAACTTTATCATGCTTTTTTTCTTTCTTGTAGATTACATTGGATACGAGACACTTCAAAGGCAATTTTCCAGATTCATGCAGAATTGAAGGTATTATGGCTTCTTGTTTTCGTAATGATTCAGTTTCAATTNTTACGAAGAACTTAAATTTGATTGTACCATATATATTTTTTGCAATAGTTTAAAAATTCTTGTTGATTGCATTTTTACAGCTTGTCAAGCACAAAACTGGTGGCTGTGTCCCTTATTTTGTGTATGTGGGGGTCTATACGAATGCGCTTGCTCCAGCTGGTGGTACAATATTCGGAGGCGGTATCGCCTCTCTGATCCTCTAGTTCTTTTTAATTTGGCTAACTTCTACACCTTTTATCCTTATTTACTATTCTTGTTATCATGACTTATAGCATGACTTTTAAGTTGAAAATATCTCTACATAAGTATGCAATTTTTTCTAGCATGTAACATACCTTTAAGTGGGGAGCAACAGGCATTGAGTGTAATGTCAGGGCCTCCTTGGAAAACGCTGCTACTACCACAGAAAATGACACCCAACAGAGAGCATCATTATAAAGATGAGGTCCAAACTATTGGCACAATAAGCCACATTAGGTTATTTGTGGCTCCAGATGGTGGAGTCAGCAGAATGAGGATATGGGGGCTGAAAGAAGATGTAGCCTTGGCTTCTAAATTGTAAATTTATAGTGAATGTTATTGAATTGTTCTTTAAAAAAAGCCTATTTCTTTTAAAGATAAGCATTGATATATGGCATGTGAATGAAACTAATGCTATTCCAAGTAAACATGTGCAGACACCCCCGTAATTTACTTACATTTCTGATTGTTTTTGCACATTCAAAGCTCGTTACAAATTCCAACAAGCATTATACTTATTATATTGGCATCCTCTTATAGTTGCCATCATAAATGACATTCTGGGCTGAGGCAATTTTATTTCTCATGACTGTGATCTCTAATGTTGCCATTATGTACATTTTCTTCTCTTTACTAAAAATGCATTAGAGGTTTACTGATGTTGAACAGTACAATATTCAAAATGGTTATGGTCTTGAAATTGTTGTGGTGCATATATTTAATAGGACATACATATTTAATGGAAATTTTAATTAAAATGTTGATAATCTTCATGACCAAAAACCATGGATAGGCAGTTGCTTGAAGTATTATTTTAATCAGCATTTTTATATTAAAGAAAAATGTGGATTAAACCAGCTTTTATTCAGTTATAAATCTTGATGTGTGCACATATGGTTATAATTTATAATTCCACATTCTATATTTACCTCCGCCAAGGAGGTTATGTTTTCACCCCTGTTTGTTTGTTTGTTTGCTTGTTTGTCTGTCTGTCTGTTTGTCATCAACATAACTCAAAAAGTTATGGATGAATTTCGATGGAATTTTCAGGGTAGGTCAGAAATGGGTTAACTTAGAAGTGATCAGTTTTTGGTGGCGATCTGGATCAACAATCAATCAAAAATGAAAAAATTAAGTTATGGACCGATTTTGATGAAATTTTTAGGAACTGTCAGAAGTGGGCCAAGGAACAGATGATTAGTTTTTGGTGGTGATCTGGATCAATAATCAATCAATAATCAAAAATTAAAAAAGTAAATCATTATAGAATGAAAATTAAGGGGTGAAATGGCATTGGAGACTTTGCTGCCTTGGCGGAAGTCTGCGCTCTCGGAGTGCTTTTCTAGTTGCTAGTGTTAAATGCTATGGTATAATATTATTAATACTTCAAAATTAATATCAATATGAATTTACAATTGTTATGATGAATAATGTCGTTAAGATTATGACCACATGATTTTAAGCACTCGGTAACTATGTAGACCCTGGAAAATGCGGTTTCGCAGCAATTTTCTATGTAGATTCTACGATTTCTTTGAAGCCTGAAAAGGGAGAGAGAAGAGGGGGCTTGTAATAATGTTGTTGTGCAGCTCAATTAAGCCAAGTTTGATTGGAAAATGTATATTTCAGTTGATTTATGTATAGTGGTATAACATATAAATCAACTTGTAACACTCTTTCCTGAAAGATTTTGTTGATTTTTATCGAAGTTACATTTTAAATATAATGTTTTAACATTGAATAAATGACAATTTCATTATTTTCAAGACACTCCTTGTTAGAAGTGAATAAATATATTTGGATGAATGCCTTGCCCCAGTTTACTTTATCCCTCTCTTCTCATTTATGCATTGGCCGACTGTGTGTGTGTGTGTGTGTGTGTGTGTGTGTGTGGGGGGGGGGGGGAAGCAGGAGGGACAGCACAGGTTCTCTTAAAGGCGAGAAGGCTGTACGAATTTTGAACTGGGCAGTGTACGTCAATTATGTCTAAAAGCTCTGGGAATAGAGCCTTAGCTACAGAATTCAATTAAATATTGGCTTATTTTTTAATATCGGTTGTCTGTAATTAACTCAAAATATCATAATGCATTATTAACGCCAATAATATAAGGAGAAATCTTGTAATAGTCGTATTCTCGATGCAAACCTCTTGCATTTACTGCTTGATATCTCATAACATTTTTATTGGTAGAATTTTGGGTAAAATTTCAGAAAAAAAATAAACAGGCTTCCCTTAAAGGTACACTGCATGGATTTGAAAATCCCCCCAAATGCTTATTTTTGCCACCCACAGCTTTTTATAAAACCTTACATACACCTGAAAAACAAAACCCCTTGAATATTTTTCTGGAGAGTACCTGATGTGGATACATCCATCGGAGCTTTGGAAGATGGTCGCTGGTTATAACGACTGGTCAGTCGTTTTAAACTAAATCAACCTTTATAAATTTAATAAAAGTGCAGAGAGGGATAGATAAATGATTCGTGAGTACGAGAAAATTGCTTATTTCCCCAGGAAAATCCATTCAACGGGTAAATCCCATGGACGTACCCTTTAAACCTTGTTCTCATCTCATTCTTGTGCACATTTATTTTTTGCTAATCCTCGTTGTACGGACTAAAAACTGCAAATAAAAAATGTATTGAAATTTTGTTTCCCTTTGCCATTTAAATCTATCTACACAATGCACCTGTTAAAGGTAGTTCTATAGATACCATTAAAAGAAATGTTAACTTCACGAAAACATCACAACTATATAATTCTTGTACATTTTTTGTGATGCACGCGTTAACCGTTCGTGTCTGAAATTTGTTAAACGTTTTGCTCCATAGTCCCATCACATAAAGTGCCACGCGTATTTCATGGAAACTTTTACAAGTAATCAGCATTCTATCCATTATGGTGATTAAGTAAAAGTGGCTGCCTCTTGGAAACTACCTCGGGCACCCGCTAGCTGTCACACAGGTAGATAAGCTGCAGAATTCGATACTGGATTTAGATAGAGCAAATTGAAACGCAGCCGCCGGTCAATCAGAAAAACGCGCCTTTCTTCTTAATGAGAAAATGACAAGCAAAGGAGAGATCTACACGAAAATGATTGTTATGAAATAAAACAGAACAGCATCAGCATATGTCAAAAGGATTTGATATTATAATGATATTGTAATTAATAGCAGGCATTCTTCAGCTTTAATGACTTGTAATGACCTGTGACCAGCAAGGGTTTTCCCGCCGTGAGAACTTGGGTCAATGATCGACACAGAAGTAAATAAACAATTAATAAAAACACTTAACTGTCTTAATATTTCCCTTTACGTGCATGAAAGACATAAAAGACCTTCGCAGTATCGGTGAAGATACTAAGCAGGCGGAATAACTGGTATGATGTTATGTAACTTTAGGGATTGCAAACGCTTTAAACTGACGTTTATATTGGAATAAAGAAGTAAATGACCACAAAGCAAAAAAAAAAAAAAAAAAAAAAATTGGGGAAAGATTTAGTTTTTTTATATCCGTTCAACAACTTGTTCGCTCATGCATGATATGTTTTTCCTTTGTTATAAATCTCTTCTCGGAATAGTTGTTAAGTTTGGTAAAGCTCTTTGAAGCAGAAAATTTAATTTCATTTAAATATTTATTGATAAACAATTTATAGATTCAACTTATTTTCTCGTGTTTGTATATTTGTCTGTCTGTTTTTTCCTCTTTTTGTTGTTGTGGAATTGGTCACAATTTACCTTGTAAACCGTTACAAAATCAAAGATATTAATATGTCATCTTTGAGCACCGTCTAATTCATTAGAATACTGCAGCGTTGTAAACAAAACATGACTGGGGTTTCAGAAAATGGGATTTCTGCGTGTGTCAGCGAGCGACAAGCTGGATAATTTCCTGAAGAAGTCTTAGAATCACTTCGCATTTATCCGAAGTTTATCAGGATCAGTGATCACAAACTTGCTAACAGTTTTGATGTGTGCGCACTGCACGACGAACGCTCTGAACGATTATTTCATAATTATTTTCAACGTGCGCACGTTAGCGCGCGTAACTCTAGATAAAGTTTAAGGGATTGAAAATGGCCAGTGACTGTTTAATCACACAGACAGTAGTCTTTGTGCTTCGTGACATTAAAAACGGTTTAAGTGCGAAATAGAAGTTGTGGTAAAGATTCCTCTCCCTAAAATGTAAAAATTGATGTGCAATGCGAAATAATATATTCATATATTCTCGGTAATATCTAGGTCTTAAAACATTTTGAGAAAAAGCGCAAAAGCTATAGTGTTGGTGAATTTTTGAGTACCCTGGTAAGAAGACGTCATTCTCACCTTGGACTTTTTGGGTCTTCTCACGAAATCAAGAAACGAAGCCTTAAAAGGAAGAAAGAGAAAAGCCATCAGAGAAAGAGAGAGAGAGAGACAACCATATAAAAACCAAAGGCCAGACTTCAGCAACTCTTGCAAGTGGAAGCCAAACGAAGAAGCACTTGTACTTGCCGACTGTTTGATTCACTGTTACATATTACACTCAGTTACAGGTAAGGCATTCTTTCATAGCGAAATATTCATGCGACTTCATTTCTAGCACTTATTTTCAGTTTCAATAAGCGCATTTTTTAGATTCTTAAAAAAGCAGTTACAATTTTTTTAATTAACTAAGCGTAATATAGGAGATTTATTTATTTTGATTTTCTTTTGTCTTGAAACCATTTAAATCGATTTACGTTATACAATTTTACTTCAAACTAAATTAGAGAGTTGCGTACATGTTTATTTTGCATATGTTTTAATAATACTCTTGCTCTAGACAAACGAATTAATGTCTAGAATGTATAAATTTGTAAACAAAATTCAGGAGTTGAATAAAATGCGTTTTGAAAATACAAAACCCTAATTTTGGGCAATGCTTTTCCTTATCAAACTGTTCTAAATAGACCAATAGATTTATTTTATCGCTTTTTATGGAAAAATCTCTTTATACTTTTCAGATGCTTTCCGGGTCTTGTGATCTGCCGCCTCATCCGTCTCTACCGTCGTACGGAGATGACTGGAAAGCGGAGATAGTGGAGCATGTTTCTCGACGCTCAAGTTTTGGTGTCACCGTGGGCTCACATCACCCGCTCAGTCACCATGAGCAGGGCATGTATATGCCAGGCCACAACAACCTGCCAGGTCTACAGAGTCCTAGAAACTGGTAGGATTTAATTCTATCTTTAATCCCCTTTGCTTACTGCACTATTATTTATTATCCTGTTTGTCTATATTCAGGTTTTTATTTATTAGTTTATGATTACAATTGAAAAACGTATAGCTTTATAAATTGAAACAACGAGCAGAAATGCGAAATAGCAAAATTTCATTTCCTTAGGATTGCTGAAAAGTAATAAAAGATGAACAATTAAAATAATCGTGCAACTTCTTTTCTGTGCTTGTGTAGTCATTCGCACATCCCCTGAAACTTAGCCTTTTAAAATATTATATCTATATCTGAGTGTAAAAAAATCGTTTTGAAAGAATATCTTTCTGTTTTTTTTTCTTTTATTCAAGCGAGCCGTTGGGGATTTCTAGCAGAAGTATAAGGGATCCCCCGATCCAGTCACCAAAATACCTGTCCAGTGTAGGCGACTCTCCGGATTTCTTTAATCGAATTAACTCCCTAGCGCCGATGAGGGCTCCGGACTTTTCATTCCATCCCCAAATTTCTATCAACCGCCCATTTCAGCCACAGGGAACTTATTTGAATAACGAACACCACAGTTATGAAGATACGGGAGGACTTCATCCTTATATCCCCGACCCAGCTGCTGCGTCTAACGGAAAATCTTTAATACCGTCGATGAGTGTCAACGTGTCGATGTGCATGAATGTCGGCATACAGCAGTCGCGCTACGACAGGAATGGCTGTGAAGGCCTTGAACAAATCGGGTCTCAAAACGGGCCTGCGGGAGATCATTTTATGTACCCCCCTCCTCCAACCTGTCCTAACCCTTACCTACAGCATGGAGGGGATCCTTGGCCTATCGGTGTGTATCAGTCACAATCTGGGGCTCAGCATCTCAGCCCTTCAAACCAGTGTATCCAGCCACCTAGAAGTGTGAACCTTCAGTTACCCGGAGGAATGGACGGGGCAGGGGAGAGATCCGTCACCGAGGCTTTTCACGGTTATGAAAAACCCAACCGATCAGAGGCTACGTCGTCTATCTCAAATTATCCAATCTTTAGTCATTTTTCTGGACGCAATACGCCCGAAAATTTAAAAGTCAATCTATGTCGCGTTTGTGGAAAAACCTATGCTCGCCCTAGCACGTTGAAAACTCACATGCGGACACACTCAGGAGAGAAACCTTACCGTTGCCAGTCGTGCCACAAAGCCTTCTCTCAAGCCGCAAATCTGACAGCCCATTTGCGAACACACAGCGGTGAAAAGCCATTCAAATGCCCTGTCTGTGACCGTAGGTTCTCACAAAGTTCGTCGGTGACTACTCATATCAGGACACACTCCGGGGAACGCCCATACAAATGCCGCTTCTGTAGAAAAGCTTTTTCAGATAGCTCCACACTAACCAAACACTTGCGGATCCACAGCGGAGAAAAACCCTACCAATGCAGACTGTGTCTTTTGAGGTTTTCTCAGTCAGGAAATCTCAATAGACACATGAAAGTGCATTTGAATACAAATCAACGAGATAACTAGAGTTTTTGTTTATTTTTTCTTTAGTGTTTAATTTTTGAAGTAATTTTTGTTTGCGTTTTATGGATTATCTTATTGCATTCTAGATAAAACAAGAAAATTTCATTTTTGGCAAATTGACGAAATAGAAACGATCCATTAAAAAACGTTTCCACAATACAAAAATGCGTGTAAAATATGTATGGGTATAAAAGACAAATGGAACTATAATCTTTTGCGCGAAATACATGTACTATAAGAAACGGATTCTGAACGCACTTTCGACACGTTTCAGTAAATTACTTTTATCCAACCTCACTTATTCTAAACGATAGTCTGTTTTAGGTATTTTCAAAATGAAGGCGGTCGTGGTCTGATTGTGGTATAATGAATATTAATAACAAAACTCACTTTTATTATAGTACAAAAAATTCTCTCCCGTACCTTTAAGAAACATAAGGCAAACTTATTTGATGACATTGTCGACAAAAGGTCTAGGCTGTAACAAAGCCAATATTTATGTGTTTGATAATATAGATCCGTTGTTTAGTTCTTCAAATCTCATTGCGGTCTTTAGTGCGGATTATCTTGTCAATGAGGATTATCTTTACAAGAAGACGCATCGTTAAGCAAGTTAAAAGTACGAGTACATTTGAGCATATCTGATAGCGTTCATATTGTTTTTAAATATAACTGTAACTGTATTTTTTTGCGTGTAAACTGAAGGAAAATTTTTATATTTACTTCATTTTTCTATCAATGTGTTCTGATATTAAGTAATATCTTACTTAAGTTACGTCCAAATGGTCTGCAAAACAAATAAGTTCTGCTGACGCTTACAAATTACGTGTAGGATTGAAGGGTATGGGGAGTATTTATATTGTAATCGTTTTTGTTTTTCCTTTTTTTGTATCGTTTTTTTTCGCACGAAAAAATGTAACGCGGTTGGCAATATAAAGTTGCGATCATTTTACAAATGGATTTATTCTAATACACGGCATATCTATTTTTTACCTTTAACATTTCTTCTATTATCATTTTCCTTCTATTCATCTTATGACCATTAGTAATTTTTTTCCTTTTAATTGTGAATTTTATAAATTTGTAAAGTCTTTTGAACATACGTTGGATTTTAAACTATAAACAAATATTATTATGGTAATTTAATATATTGTGTATGTACGCAATTTGAATTCAATAAACCAGAAATGTTCTGAATAGTGCTTTTTTTATGACCTAAGAGTTTGAATATTGTTCACGAATTACAAAAAAGAAAAAAAATGGTTAAGTTAAATAATTTCTCTGCAATGAGCAAAAATGTTCAATTTTTTTCGGCTTGTGTTTGATAATTTTCATTTATAAATTTTCTGCAATTCAAAATTTCTGGCATAAATGTCACTGAGTCGGTCGTTTCAGAGTTGATTAATTTTTCTCATTCTACTTTAGTTGCTATGATTGCAAAATGGTTCGAAGAAATTGACTTTTAATGAACAGCATGGAAAAAGGCAATCGATCAATTTCTACTGTCTATACACACCGTCGCGTAGGAGTGTACTGACAAATCGCTACACGTTTTAAACACGAACGTCAAACTAAGTTTCGTGCATTACTTACACTTAAGGTATAAATAAATATAAATATCTGTAGCATCAACTTTCTAAGAATATCTAAAAATGTTCAATCATATATTGTTGTATGTAAATATACACACCCATTAAGAACTTAATTAAGCAATTTATCGTCGAAACTACATAACATGTATGCTGTAGCTCTGTTCACACTCGGTACCTGGTGAATCAAACACGAAAGCAGAAAACCAGTTTTCTTCACCAAAAGATTATCAGTGATATTGTCTTCCTATGAGATATTACTGAATAAGAATGAGAGCACTGGTCAGTATAACAATCTCCTGTTGTTGAGATATGATAATATGGTTAATGTTGCAGTTGTTCTTAGTTGTTATCCTGATCTCTCTCTCTGCCACTGGGATTTTCACGCCATATCTTCTCATATTTACGAATCATTGCTCCACCCATTTTTACACCTGAATGGGATCTTATGTGTGAGTTTAATGAAATTATTAATCAGTAGATGACTCCACGATTTTCAGAAATTTCAGAAAGAAATATCAACACCAGCCGTCATCTTCAGGTGCTTCAATATAAGGGCTTTTTGAAGTTTTTCACTTGAAAGTCTGAATTGGTTTTATTTAGATATTAAGACATAAAATTTTGATTTTGTGACTTTTTAAAACGTGTATGGTGTACGTCATTCCTTCTTAACCAGAATAGCTTTTTACTAGAAACCTCCCCCCCCCCCCCAATCAGGACTTCGCATCCTGCTTACACTATGCTATGGTAAAAAGTACAGTGAAGCACTGAGGCACCTTCTTGACTCAGCTTGCAAAGAAGAGTGTTGATAGATCACTCTCGTGTACCAGAGTTGTGTATGCATCACAAGCAGCTTAAATGTGAACAATGATAGAGCAGTGGAGAAAATTGAGTGTTTTATTTTTAACTGGTAATTTTACCCTTTTAAATGTGACTTATATCATATGAAATTTTTAAGCAGATATAAAGGAATATACACATAGAGGATTATTGGATGATTTCTCATTGACCGTACCATAAGATGTTGGCAGAATTCAAGCTTACCATTTTCCATAAGGATGCTTGTTATTTCTTGAAAACCTGGATGCTATTTGATAGTCAATCAAATTGAATAGCTTCTTGTGACACCTTATAGAGAAAGGTAATCTTTTCTGGTGAATACCAACATCTGAAAATATAATAATAATATATGTTTAACGGATTTTTTTCACTATTTCAGTGATGGGAAGTGCAGAGGATACATGTAGCTGCCACACAAATTAAATGGCAGTGAATTTTTGTATGCCCCAGTTTAAACCAAGGATCCATTGTAACACAGTGATGAGGGATCATCATGAAGTTCAGAATTTAATATCTGATGACATTTGGAAGAAAAGAAAAGGGTTCATTGCTGAATATTTTGTGAAGCCTCCTGTGACAATTACAGTAGAATTCCCATTACATATTGAGATTAAAAGTATTGCCATAGATCCTGTTGTTGGAACTCAGAAGTCATGTAGTTTTGAAATATTTACTCACTCTGCTAAGGAGAGACGACTGTGGTTTTCTGACGAGGAGGCATCTAGTTGTTCAGCTACAGTGGATGGCATATTTACACCTGTTGGCAGATATTTTGGTAACAAGGCAGCACCTGTGCTCTTTGTCAACCGTAGATTCATACCTAGGGGTATATTTAAAAATATACCACAGCACATGCCCTCGCTGGAGTGCCAAACTCTGCATCATCATTATTATACAAACTTATCCAAGGTTAGCCATGTATCTGTTAGGATCAATAAAACTGAGAACAGCACCTCTCCTGCTATTGGAAAACTTGAAGTTTGGGGTCAGCCATCAGCTTCAACAGATAGGTCCATTGTTCAACAGGTTTACAGGTTGTTGTTGCCAAAACGCAGTTCTGAGACGGCCCCTACATCAACGTCGTCAGCAGCATCAGGCTTCGATAATCGGTCACCACCATTGCCATCATCACCATCATCATCATCAACTTTATGCACTGAAATATCTGAAGGCACAAGTAACTTAGATAACAGTGACATTCCAAATGAGTTCTTGGATCCCATCACCTGTAAAGTAATGGCACTTCCAGTATTATTACCTTCTGGGCAGTGCATTGATCAGTCTACTTTGGACAAATATGTAGCTCAGGAGAGGAACTGGGGCAGACTCCCTAACGATCCATTCACTGGGACTGTATTTAGCCAGAGCAGTGGTCCTGTCCCCAGCTCTGCCCTCAAAGCCAGGATAGACCAGTGGCTGATGAGGCACGAGGCAGAGGATGGTCTCATGATGGGGAGAACTGTGGGGAGAGCCACTGACTTACACAACCAGGTACCACAACTCCCTAAACACAAAAATCTGCCTCAGCCAGGTAGTACAATTTTTACTAAAGAGCACAGACAGGATCACAGTAACAGTGAAGACGTAGGCATTCCCAATACAGAAATTAAAGAACCAAGTATGCTTAATTTTAAAAGAAAAGCTGCAGATAGCAACAGCTTGTTAAAATCTAAAATGCCAAAACTAAAACCATCAGTTCCATTATCCAATGCCTCACACCAAGAGAATCTATTGTCCAGCCTAGATTCTGCTCTCAGCAAGACCCTGAAAGGTCTGCCATCTTTTCAAAAATTGGATACCTCCAGCAATACAACCCCTATATTAGAAGAAAGAAAAATATGTGCTCAGTGCAATGTAGAACTACAAACTATGGTTGCATTTTATTCCCTGCCTTGTGAACACTTTCTGTGCAGAAGCTGCTTGTTGAAATGCTCAAAACAGGACACAGATTCAGTGATATGTGCAAAATGCTCCAAATCATGCAAACGGCAAGATATTGTGAGAAAACATTTATAACACACTCATGTTTGCCCATTACAAAATTTATGGTGGCTGCCAAATTTGCTAGTATTTAATTTCAGTTCTTAAGGAAACCGGCCTTTTATTTCTCAGGAAGTAATGAATCCTTGCAAAGAGCAGGAATTTTAATATTATTGAAGCTGAATCATGCAGCCATATTGATAAACAGCAAAAGAAAAATTAGATTTTTGAGATCAATCCTGCAGAGCATTACATCAAGGTAAAATGCTTAGACATTCTCCTGTAATTGTTGATTATGTTGGCATTGCACCGTCTGCTGGACAGTGGTTTTTGGTCCATTTATCAATCACATGACACTTGAATTGATAGTTACAATGTGCAACATGGAAAATTAAATGAAAAATGCAAACATTTTCAATACAGATTATAGGTAAATTATATAAGAAATAAAGTAAAATTTACATGACTGACTTCCTCTTTATTATATTGATCATTCCACTGACAAGTTTAGACTCTTAAGGCAGGACTGCAGGTTGGAGATTTTATCCTAAATTAAAGGGCTTAGCTTTTTTATTCCTGTTGCATTCATTTAATGTATCTTCAAAACATCTAATTATGCTTGAAACACGGCTCCAAGTTTACCGTGGTTCCTAATTTTGGGATATTTCTGGCAAAAACGTTTTCAGTTTCCATATTTCCTATAAACATGCTTTTGGGTTCGGGGATTTTTCTTTAGACTTATTACATTGATTTTATCTATACAAACGTGATTTTAGCTCTATTTGAGTACAGTCTCCCCTTAAATGACTTGAATCAGAGTTGATTTTCTTATTCAAGATATTTCAGAAATAAGACATTTCATTTTTTCACAAGAAATATACTTATCATGCGAGAAGGAAACTGATAATGAGCTAGAAATTAAACCTATTTATTTTTGTTATATGGTATTGGAAGTTGTAAAGAAATGAAGACTAATTAAATAAAGAAGTGACATAGAAATGTTTATTCTAACATATATTTAGAATATATATTTACATCAAAAGGCTGAAATATTTGTCATTTTTTCTATGAGCGAAGAATTGACCAGGATATGTAGATGCTATGTTATGATATTCTTGAATTTTTACTTCAAAACAATTTCAAATGCTTCAATTTTAAGGAATAACTATTAATGACTTAATTTTCTGCTAAATGAAATGCTGTTTTTGAAGCTTATTAGAATCAGTATTTCAATGACAAAATGAGCATCAGGAGCCTTCTAAAGGAAAAAGACCACTGCTAAATACATTACGCTTAAATTTACTGGATATTTATAACAAATATTTGAAACATACAATGTACTGTGGCCCTGCTAGAACATCCATAACAATAAACACATTATACAAGTTGAAAAGTAATTGGTTTGACTAAATGCTAAGATTTGTATGAAACTAAGGTTAGTTATGGCAGTTTGTTCTTGGCTGCAATATCTCAAATTAAGCAACATTTGAAAGATCCTGAATGCCTTGTTACATTCAACTCAACCATTTCTACATGATCATCACACATACCAGTACCACAGCACTCCATTTTTTTAAGTTCTTCATGTTTTGTAAAAGTTTCGTAAGATTAAATTTAGGTACAAGCTTTGGCATTTGCTTTAGGTAAAACAAAGAATCCATATGTCAGTGGAGGAAGACTGATGCTGGAACCTGGAGACAATTTCTTGGGTGGGAATGAAGGCAACTGGCCAAATTTCCACCTGAGAACTTTACCATTCAGAGCGATTTCCCTAAAAAGAAACATGCAGTATGGTGTCAGTAAATGTATTGACATTAAATGTCAGTTGGTTGAACACACTATTAAATCATGATTTTCAAATTTTTTTGACCATTCAGAGCGATTTCCCTAAAAAGAAACATGCAGTATGGTGTCAGTAAATGTATTGACATTAAATGTCAGTTAGTTGAACACACTATTAAATCATGATTTTCAAACTTTTTTGAGTTAAACTGATTTACTTTAGAAAATATTTAAATAGCAAAGTTAACATAAAGTCCAATTCATATTCTGGTTTATGGTAATTGAAAGGATTAACCCTCAATTTAGATATACTTCAAAAGTGAAGATCTTTATTTACCTAGATGTGATACCATCACTGCCATATGGAGAGAGTAGATATTGATCAATGCTTCTCTCTGGTACATTTATAACAGCTGCTTGGTCTTCTTGAAGGTTAATGGCAATAAGAGTCACAGAACCTTTCTCATATATACTGTAATGATAAATAGCAAAAAGTCTAAAAACATTTTTTGTGTCTCATCTCTCTCATTTACAGAACAAAATCTATTAGTGATGGACTAGTGAAAGCATGATATCTAAATCATATTAGGAAAACTTGTCATTATCAATTACTTCCTTAGAAGTCAGCAGCAGTGTCTATGTAAACCAAAATATATCATATATATTTTTACAATGCTTACAAAAATCAAATTGCCTTCATAAGCTTGTTTTTGCCAATATCATGATTTAACCAACCTGAGGGTTCTGGTGCAATGTGCATACACCCTTACTTGTCTTTGGCAGGTAACGCTGACATTGGATGCACATGTGACATTCAGAACAGTTTCACCAACCAAATGCTTATGAAGTAAAGAAATCCAATAGGTCTGAAAATATATACTTTCACATTTTGGAATAACATTCAGTGCTGCCATCTACGCTGATGATGGCATCCATCCTAAATACACATAGTTGCAAGAATTGTTACACAAATGGCACACACCTATTTGTACAGTTGTCGTAACATATATTACTTACTGGTGCAGGCGTGCCGTCCATTCTAATTGCCCCATATGCTCCACCCTGAAGAGTGTTCTTTATTACCATACTTATGCCTTTGGCTGCACTCAGTCCAAGTTTGTCTAACCACCTGAAATAATTTAAAATGTGCTGTCTGTATTATACCATTTTTTTTACAGTTTATTGCATAAAATAGTTTAAAAATGTCATGACATATAATCAAACCCATCATACAGACTCTAGATTCCTACACAAAACATAGCCTTTTAAACAAATGCATTATGCTTCATAAATATCAACATCTTGCATCCACCATGCTTGCAACAAATCAACATTAACATATTATATTTTCTCACATGAAACCAGCAAGGTATCTATCACTGAGATTCTTTGCTCCTCCACCCCAAGCATCTGCTGTCTCCCCCAGCCACATGACAGCACCAGGCTTGTACTTGTCCACCACACGCCGCATGTCAGATATGTAGGTTGCCAGTAAATTCATCAGATCAACATCTAAAAAGTCTGACACGCTGCAGTCCTTGCCATCAAAGTAGTAGCTAAAAATATTAAGTACCAAAATGCATCCTGTATGTTTATGTTAAAAATCGGAATATAAAATCCTTGCTGCTATGATACATGAGGGGATATGTGGGAAATAATTGACTGTTTTTGGTGGTACACTGAAATTAAAATAAACAGTGCTATTTGGGTTAGACTTGTAAATCCAGGCTTAAAACCTCAAGGTTTTTATCTATAACTCAGATATCAAATCACTCAGTAAACATGATGCTAGTATCTTGTACAATTTTTGGTTTCTGCCAAAAGACAGAGATGACTATTTATCGTCACGTTGGTATTGTGTATCCTATAAATTGGTCTAAATACACAATGTATTTGCAAAAACACTTACTGATGCCATGTAACAACATCTAAAACATCTGCAGCCACACTAAGAAACCTGAAAATAAAGTTTTGTATTTTATTGCTTTAAAAGGTAGAAATATTTTTAACACCAATAATTGTTCAAGTGAGTTAAGATGTTGCATGCAATCTTTATCTTTTCAACATTGATGTCAAAATGTCAATTCTATTATAGTGTCTTATGGCAGTAAGCTATAATTTATATGTTCATTTGTTTTATTTTTTAAATTTTCTTTTATAAGTCATTACAATTCCACATTGATATTAAATATCATCGCAGACACAAATTCCTGTACCAAACTGCCAATAACGATATAGCAATTAATTGATGACACTAATTATAAAAATGACAAATACAAAAATAATGTACATCAACTCACTTCTCCATATAATCCAGAACTGAGGGTTTTCTAGGCCTTGTTGTGTCCGGTCCAACTAACAGGCTATTGTTATAAAATGGATGGCTTTTAAGGATCTTGTATAAAAGTTTGAAATCAGATCCAAGTTGCAATGGATCAACTCCTCTGCCAACAGCATGATGCATGGAGTTTGGTTCTACAATGAAGCATGTGAAAAGATGTCACATAGGCAACTCAACTGGAAGAAAACTCCCTTGTCAATTAGCATCTTATAGCTCTGTATTATCAAATTATCATTTAATACATTTTATTTTTTTAGACAACTGGCACATGGCATCAAATAAATTGTACATGTTGCAGGAGTTAGCTGTATATTTAACAAAAACATTATGGACCTACCATTCCCCAGTTCAAAATGGAGTTTATATCCTCTCTTAGAACTGTAGTCCAGTAACAACTTGGCATTGCTGGGGTCCCATTGGTCATTAGGGGTACGTAGTAGGACATTGAAGTCAAACAGTAGTGAGAAGTCAACTGCTGAACTGAACTTGTTTAACAAATCCCATTCTTCGCCTGAAGAAATTCAAATGCAATAAAATTAATATAAATAAGATAAAAAAAACATGCATGTCAGTGCTCCCATTATTATCAATTTATATATAAACGCATTTAATCATTTTTATATATGTGGCACTGTTTCAAACCACCTAGTGAGGAATATTCTATACAATTACCAGTTACTGTATAATTTGTGTATGTTTTTTCCTGAGTATCATCTTCATAAGTTTCCAAAAAATAAGAGTCTTGGTGTTCTGCATTAGGATCAAATAGAAAGAAGCTGCTCTCAGTTCCTCCTTGTCTCAAAAATGAAGGAGACAGTGCCCTGGCAAGTTCTTGAATCTTTTGAGATCTGGAAAAAAAGCAGAGGTTATTTGTGGAAGTAAATATGTTGACTGAATGTTCAGTGGTGATCTGTGTGAATTACATGTAACTTCTCTGCTCTAAATGCAGGGGCGGATTTAGGCCGTCTTCTGGGTCTTCTGGAAGACGGTCAGACTTTTAAGTTTACATTGACAGGTAGGGCCTATCTATTTTTTCTGTCGGAAGACGGTCAAAATAGAGGATGGTAATAGAGATAATTTGGAAGACTGTCAGAAAATATCTCTGGATCCGCCCCTGAAATGCATTCTACATGGCATGAGTATTCTATTGATGGGATTTCCTGATTCTGACACAATGAATGTGTGTTTACAGGATCCAATTTACCAGTACTAGTATGTTCATGTAACATATATATATATATATATAGGTCCACCTAACTGTTGACATGGGCAGTAAGAAGGTCCCTTGTCTATTCAGTAATGAATACTGGCAGAGGGGATGGGGTGAATATCAAATCCATTCACAAAGTACTGGTACACAAGCAATTGGTTATTCATTCAGTTCATAAGACGAATTCTATTTTTTTGGAGAATAAAAGAACAGGCTTTTCACTTGTACACGGGATCACATTCCTCTAATCTATTCACCAGTCTCAATATACAAATGCTATTTCCCAAGGACCTGCTTGACTTTATATCCCCGGATCTGAAACTCACCGTAAATCTATTTGCTTCCAGTGTCGTTTGATAGCAGAATCTCCAAAGGCAAAACTAACAAAGTTCTTATCAACAACATACTGGCTACGTGAAGTCTCTATGCTAATCTTTATAGGATCCTGATTGAACGTTTCTGTAACTAATGATTCTGTCCTCGTAAAAAGCAGTACATGTACAAAACAAAAAGCAGCAAAATGCAAGTACATGGTCCAAGCGGATCTAAAACACACATGCCATTGCAGGTGTTGTTCTCCACGCCTGAGCCTCGTTTTCGTTCATCATGCCTCTGTTTGAAAGAAATGTAGGTCTCCATAGAGAGAAAGCTTGAAGAGGCACCAGCTTTCATGTAAATACAGCAGTATGGGACATTAGTAGTTTAAACAAAATTTTATCTCATATTTATTATATATTCATGACATCCATTTCAAACATTATCAGAGACTTTGTGTTAAACGATCTTAAACTCTTTCAAAGAATGGCTCTATCATTGTGCAAGGAATTTCAAATAAATAAATAAATACAATATTTAAGGAATGTTATGTAAATCTCGTTTGATTTAACAATTGGTTTTAATTGGGTTGCCATCTGAGAGAAAACAGCGAAATGAAATAACAAAACAGAATAAAGGAAGGAATGTCGCTTGATATTACTTGAAATATAACTTGAAATATCAAACCGCATGATATAAAATATATATTTAAAAAGTGCTCATAATGCTAAAATGTCTGCACATAAAAAGTTGTGACGCATCTAGATAAGGGAGACCGGGACTATTTGGACCCCGGGGTAAGTTGGCCCCCATCAATTTATGACAAAGTAACTATGGGGTCAAAGAATTGATCACATCATTTTGTTAAGTGACCGTATCCATTAGTGCTAAGAGAGCGTCGGCAGTGAGTGCAAATGAAATAATTTAGCATCTTAAAGTAACTTTATTAAAGAGACTTGATGGGGGGCAACTTACCCCGGGGTTTAACTAGACCCGGTCTCCCCTACAGCTATAAAATGACTAAATGGAAGTGCGTTGATCAATGCATGTGGAAGGAATGATACGTAATGGAATTTTTGAGCCTAGCCAAGATTGATGAAAGATAAAATCTGATTAAATTTTAGGCGGGCGACAGTAAAACTTATCTGTCTTCATTTTGTTATGTATAAGATGCAATTTCTAGTTGCTTCTCAAACAGTTTTTGCATATGTAAACACTAGACACAAAAATACATGCATTGCTAAAAGATATTACAAGGTAGGCCTACGTTACAGGATTCTCACAAGATTATACCTTCGGGCCTGATTAATCGTATTGACTAAATCAGATTGTCATCTACTTGTAGCGAAAAAGTCGCCGACGGGTCTTTATACATTGCGCACCCAACAATTATTTAAAATTATGTCTAATTAGATGCATTACTGTTAATGCTACTGCCAGGTGTCACGCTCTAAGAAATTTTATAATTAAAATAAAACGGTACCAAGAGTGGAATTGTGCACGTTCATTTAAATTTGTCTGAAATGGGTTCTTCTCTTCCACACAGCTAACTTCTAATTTCAAAGGGAAAAAATAGAAAAAATAGAAAGAAATCAAGTTGATAGCTGATGTTTGATGTCTACGACGAAGACAACTATATTAGGCCTACCAATCACAATCGCTAGAGATCGCTACCGCAATCTGTCTTTTCGGCGTGCGGGTTTATGCTCCATATGTGAATTTGCGGAAGGATTAGAATGCAGAAACCCCGGAGCCCGTACTTTTATTTATCACAGCTAGTATAGTAATGCTTTAGCTTCATTCTTTCCATTTTGATAATGGCAGTATATTTTAATTTACGAAGCTCGGATGTTGATTGGGGTTTGTTGCTCTCAGAGCCTGGCTCATCCACTGATTCAGAAATGCCAAGATGGGTTGGAAGGGGGGAGGGGGTCGTAAAAAGTGGATTCGTTACGAATTATGGTGGTTTTGTGTGTGTGTGTGTGTGTGTGTGTGTGTGTGTGTGTGTGTGTGTCGGGGCGGGAGAGGGAGCTCAATGCCTTTTTTCATTTGTAGAATCTTGGTAGGTTGGGACGGGGTTGGCTAGACGATGACGAATTTGATTTTAGGTGGGTGAGAGTGCTCGCAGGGGTTAGTAGGCCTAATGCATTCCCTCTGTTATCCACGAAAGCCCCTTGCTGTTTGTGCTGTCCCCAACGCTTACGTTACCGTGCAGTAAAGTCTGAAGTGGCATTTTTACATTTGTTCATATTCTTCTGTCAGTGGCGGATTTAGAGGGGAGGTCAGGGGGGTCCTTACCCCCCCCCCCCTTTCGATTTCTGGTCCCCTCTTGAAATTTGAATTTTGACTAGCTGAATCATAGTTTTTAAACTGTTCCAAATGGCACCATTCACCCTCTAAAATACCAAAATTTTCGGGGCCCTCAGACCCCACGCCGAGTTTGGGGGGGGGGGGGGCAGTTTTGCATCCACGGCCCCCCTTCAAATAATCCTACTGTAGATCCGCCCTTGTTTGTGCCAGTACATTTCAAACATGTTAGATTAATCCCTTTTACCACTTTTTTTAAAATTTAGATGGTGTCCAGTGTCTGTAAAATTTTTCTATCTCCAAATGGATATTTTCAGATGCTATGCCAAGCAGCTTTATTAGTATTTATATTAATAGTAGAAATGTCTCACCATTACGTGGCCCAGGTGTTCAGACACAAAAAGGGTCATTATCTATTTTTATTTTTATTAAGAAGAAACCCTGCCTTCCAGATTCACATGGAAGAATTATTGCTAAAGAGAGGTGGCACAAGGGGGAAAATAATTTTTGCCTTCATTTTGACATGTTTGCTTAAGAGAAAATTCAAAGGAGAAGAGCAAGCATGTCACCATTTTTTAGCAAATTCAAATGAAAAATATCTTATTTTCAGTCAGTCTAATTGCATTGATAGTGTGCTCTATTGTGGGAATTTTTTTCAAGATTATATTTTGTGAATTAAGAAAGCACTTGACCTTTGCTAAATTTGATTAACAACTTGTACCAGTAACTTGTGGGAGTTCATTACAACACATTATTTCTCCCAAGACGGCTGCCTAAAGAACTTCATGGCTCTCTTTCTAATTACATCTCAATTCTTTTGTGTGGAAGTCCCTGTGAGATCAGGTCTCTGCTAATTATTCTGTACCAGTGCCAGATAGACAGGTGATAAGCATGAGACCAGGTGAATTTGCACACAAACAATGCTGATTGGCATATCAAAGGGAGAATGTTTTACTTGGTAAGATATCTGTATGCTAGGGATCATATGTAAAGAGTCATTTAACTGTGTCTTATGCCAGTCAGGTAGGGGAAAGCTGGAAAGTGTTGGGTTTATTTTATTTCTATTTGTTAAAAAAGTTATTTTGGAAAACATTTATTTTATTTGCTTCTCTCATTTATCGTTCTTGCTATTAATTTATTCTATACAGGAAGAGGCAGTAATTTTCGAAAAAAAAAAGGACAGATTAACATGAAGTTTAGATACTTTTGTTACTTATTGTGTGATTTGTAATATGATGGACACCAATTGTCTTTAGAGTATAGTTTAATTGTAGAAACATTTTACAGCTTGTTTTTTTGTGCAGGGTGAAGGCACTCCTTCAAAGAATTTCCTGTTGTTGAATGACCTGGTCAATATCTCGATCACCCAGTGGTCACCTAGTATTTACTAAAGAAAATTGTGGTCAGCAGCTTTGTTCAGGTGTGCAACTGATGAAGTAGCTGCAGATGATTAACAGAAATACATGTTTTCTTTCTTTCTATTTTTTTTTCGTTCATGCACAATATAAAAGATATTTCTGATATAATTTTGAGAGTTAATAATGGTATTTTTTAAAACAAGTAACACACAAATTATGAAGTAATGGAAATGAATAATATTGTATAATATCCTTTTAGTCATGATACCCTCTATAATTGAATAGTTTTTGGAAAAAAAGGCAATAAATTTCAAATTTTAACAAAAATGACTAAATTGCCTAAGGATTATGCGTGAGTTATTGCATGAGCATGCCCCATGTTTTTTGTTCAGTGTACATGTATGCATAGTGAAGGTTTCCTCATTAAGGTTTACACATGCCCTTGCATATTTTTATTATCAAAGCATTAAATGTTCATACATAATTTTGAATAAATTGCATCTTAATTAATATTTTAAAAAGTGTGCTTTTTTTAGTACTAAAAGTGTAATTAGAAAAATTGATTGTGTAGGATTGTAATGAAGAGGCTACTTAATTTAAAACTTGTGATGGGATTGCCTATGTAATGATAAAAATACAACACTGTTGACAGAGGGCAAGAATGGAGTAAATATATGAACCAGACCATTAGATATTGAAATCTGTATCTATGAAAGATATGAATTGTATATCAATGTTAATGCAACAAATGCATAGTGCTCATATAAGCATATTAATCATGATATATCATATAAATAATCTAAAGAAGGAGATAACAAAGAGTCATAGACTTAGACTGATAAAATATCTTGTAACAAAGAGTCTTAAAGTAGGTTAAATGTTCATGATCTTGACTGGTAATGTATTGAAAATGAACAGGTGTGGTACCTCTTCCATATTAATACTGGAATTTTATAAGTACTGACCTTTTCCCTGTCTGCGAGGATTTTACAAAGCTAATTTTATGGGGTGCATGATTACAAGTCCATAATTGTATACCTTTAAGGAAATATTGCATTCTTCTGTAGAATATAGGGCTTAATAGTACCTCATATTCTATACTACAATAGACAGAGTACAATGGAAATGTCTACTTGCTGACCTTAACAGAATTAGCTTCACTGTGAAGACATTTATTGAAAAGAAATTATCCCAGATGGTGTCCATATCCATGTATTTTTCTAGGTTCAGAGCAGATCAGACATCCTTTGTAAGGCATACCTTGAATTTTCCAAGCTACAGCAGGTATTATAACTCAGGATTATTTAAGTATTTGTTTGATATTTTTCTTCCTGTAACAAATCTGTTTTGTGAGTTAATTGAAATCGTATTTAAAAATTTTCAGGTTATTACCACCTATAAAACATCCAGTGGTATTGCTCTCTTTAGAAAAGTGCCAAATTTATGAATTTGTCAACACTTACTAGTATGTCATAAAAAGGTATTGTTTTATTGCTTTTGTGTAATTCTGCAGGTAACTACTAAGTGAATAGTCTCTGAGTGAAAATATATCTCAACAGGCATTGTATAAGTAAAGTTAATTCAACTGTTGCATTTGACTGTGGGCATATTTGGGGATTAACTGATTTTCTCTAATTGGTTGTATAGCTTGGAGATATTACTTTGATGAATCAAATAGCACTACAGGTGACAAATATTTTACATGGTTGAAATGCCAAATAGTGTCTGTACCTGTCTGTAGATTGATTTTAACTTTCTCATGTAAACTAAAGAAAATACTCTCGGGAGGTGCTACAGGTAAGTAGGCATGGGAAATTCATCTCTTTCAGAAAAAAAAACCTTGAAGGAGGTTGCATTTTTTAACTTTACTTAGTATAGGTTGTTCATTCAGTTAATCATAAAAATAATGTACATGGATAAAATTTCATTTGAAGTATTGGCAACTAAACTACACAGTGACTACAGTACATCATTTCATGATTGTGCATCTTCAACACATACATGTAAACTGTACTCCATGATACTTTCAACAGGGCCCCGATTTTTATCCTGTGAGGATAATACTGAATTTTTAGCTTTATGCAGATTTTTCCCATGTGCCTGACAATTGTATTCCAGTGGAGATCAAATTTATCATTATTGACAGGACGTGATACTCTGTAAAGTATTAGTTAATATTTGCATTGGATAAGGGTCCTAGTAAACTTTTATTTACAAAGAACAAAGTGCTCCAGAAGAAAAAGGTCTAAATTATTTCTTTTATATCAAGTAACCATTGATTTTCCACTGTTAAGCCAAAGAATGTAAACACATTGTTGGTGTTGTAATAGAATTAATGTTATATATTAATGAGGACATTCTATCAGTGTTTGACTGCCATTGATCCTTGGGAAGCTGCCTTTCAAATTAAATGCCAATCAATGTATATATTAGTCATTATCTAAAGAAGAATATGAAGGAAGTTGAGCTCTCTCATGGACTTTCTGAATCTTGAAATGTGTCTTTCATTCGTAATTCAGAAAAAGTCTTGGACACTGAGGTAAGGGCCCCTGGTGTGTTTAGACAAGCTTGGCAGTATATATAAGTATATAAAGCACTGGTCATTGGTAGGAGTGGTTATGACCACTATACATTCCCAGCCCGACATTATCATTCAAAACATCCATAGAAACTTTGGATACCTGAATGATTTACTTGACATTTCACTGGAGCCATGTGCGGTATGGATTGTGTGTAGTCTTAGCAGCAGAGTCCGGTTTAAAGAAAGATTTGGAGATTAGGTGCAGTAAGTAAGCAGAGGACAGACTTTGAAGAGAAATCTAAAGTGTTATAATTATGAACAGATTAAATCACCCAGGTTTATTCTCCCTGCAGGCTTTGTGATTCTTAGGTGATGGTAGAAATGAGGTCTAGCATCATTACCTTTGGTCAGCTGCCTTATTATAAAGACTACATTGAATTAAGTACACATTTGCTCAGCAGTTGGGATTTTATTCACTTTGATATGAGACACAAATTGCTTTGCCTTTATGTTTGCTGAACAATTAGGTATTGCTTTTTCTTGCAGCAAAGAGAGATTACTACACCCCAAGTGGGAAGAATAGTTCAACCAGTCCTAACTTCATTCAAGTTCCGTTAAGCTGTGAACATTGAAGCATTTGGTAAGGTAAGACTTTTTTCTTAAATATCCATTTTAAGGCATTTTAATGTAAGACTTGTCAAATTATGATATTACAAAGAGTACACATAAAATGTCAGTAATATCTACATCCAACAAAGAAATGCAATGTATTGAATAGATCTGATATCTGTGATATTGTCCAGGATTAGGCGGTCAGACTTTTTGTTAAAATGCACACAAGCAAGAATTTCATGTCCCAGCTGTGGTTCTGAGGATCAAAGGCAAAAGTTTACCAAATTTCCTAATATAGCAAAATTACTGAAAACATGTGGAGGAATTACACAGTTGTTTCATTATGCAGTTAAATAACCAAAACTCATTCATAATTGGCTAATTATTCATGTCAGGTGACATATTGAATCACAAGGTAATTAATGAATTGGCAGAAGAGAGACGCCCATTATGTAGAATGTATGATTGTTTCTACTGTATTTGAAATGGGCCGCAGTTGTGTTTTCTGACAAATATCTGATGCTTTGGGAAAAACAGCTGCTCTGACATTTTTTGGCAGATAACACACCTGGACATTTCTTTCCCTACAAGAACAATTACCTGCAGCATTGCTTCACTTAGTATGGTCAACTTTAAAAAACAGAAATTGAGATGTGTTTGTTTATTTTATGTATTTGTGAACATAAATTGGTTTTGTTAAAGCTTTTTAAACTTGTGATCCAGGGGTGCTTCAGGTGAAACAAGCTCAACAGTTGGAATTAGTGCTATGTAAATAGTGTCAGGCTGCCTCACATTGATCTCCTATAGTGTGTGGTTTGCAAAGTATGTGGACAAGCTATGACTCAAAGACTGTCACTCATTTACCTGTCTCTGTTCCAGAAAACAACCAGGAGGCAACAACGGCAGAAAATCTTGGATCATTGGTATCAAACAGTGATGCTGTAGTGAACTGCAAAGAAATTGGAAAATTGGTAAATCTTTTTAATTACTCTTAATGGAGTGCCATACTGATATTCATTTTCATAGGGAAATAGATTGTTTTCCTTCCATTTGCAAATTTGAATACATGCATTTGATAGAGGGAAGAGATAATTTCCATGCTGAACTAAACACAATGATGTGTGATTCGTATATTGTGCCATCATGCGTGTAATTATGAAATTATTAAGTAATCTGTTGGTAAAATGTTAGGAAGTGAACTCAAGTGTATATGACATGCATTGTGTCTTGCTTTAAGAATATTGGTTCATTAAGGTGAAGAATATAAAGTTGGTCCACACCTAATTAACTTTAAGTAGTCCTAAATATGTGTTTTTCTAGTCATGCATGTATGCATTATTTTTGTTTGCACGCTCTTTTTACAGTGTTCTGCTTCAGGCAATGTTTCTTAATTTTACCATTCTGGTGAAGTAGTTGCCTAGTATACATTTTAAGTTTTGTACATGCTATTATAATTTATAGGTATATTTTTAGTGATACTACTTTTTAAAGTATTTTTTGGAAGATAAAATAAGCCAAATTACATATTGTCATAGCAGTGCTCAGAATATAGATACAATGGTAACGTATAATAAAAATACATCAAAGGGAAAAATAATGAAAAAAGCTGGTCACTATAATTGGGCTGTATGAATGCCCTGCCCTTGGCAATATGCATCAACTTTGTAGTGTAAACATCCCTTTGTTGTAGACATATCTGACTGGGTAATTTGACAGTGGTCATGTTGTTTTAATTGATGGCCAAACCGGGTTCATTGGGCGATGCCAGCTGAGGCATCTATTTTCATCATTTCATACCATACATATGTGCTGACCAGACTTGGTGTACCAGTGTAGATTAATTTGTGACTTTTTACAAACATTTGGTATTTTGACAGAACAATCTTTACCATCACAGAATTTGTCTGAGGTATGTACACTATAATGAATTTACTGGTAAAATCTTCATTGAGGCTTTTTATTTGTCCAAGATAGAAGGGCATATTTTTGTGAGCAATATGATCATATTACTGTTGTTGATGTACGATCGTATTATTATTACTGATTTTCTTAATTTTTAAAATTAAATTTCATCATTAATAATTCAAATGTTGATTTAACATGGGTGTTTGATATGAATGTATAATTAGTTGTCCATACAATTGTACATTTATATTAATCAATCATGAAACTGAACCTTGCAAAATGTAAATAAAATATACTGCATGTGACAATAATAACAGTTTCCACTTCACTAGAAGATAATATTATAGTGATTTGTTGAAAGCTTTTAGCAGAACATATTTGGAAAGACTGTAAATAGAAATGCAATTAGATATTTGATGCTGCCCACACATAATTTACTTATTCATGTCTTAGTTACGACTTTGAACTGTTAAATGACTGCTATCCTCATTAGTGAAAATACCATTAAAATAGAGGATATATATGCATAATATAATAATAAGAATTATCTTTAATCAATTTGGGAAGGGATTTTAGTGATTGGCTATATTGACTGAGTTGGAAGATGAAAAGACAATACAACCTCTGTGTGCTGTGTGCAGTCGTGCCCTTGGAACCCAACAACAATGGGACGCAATTACATCAAATGTAAGGCATGCATAGGAAATGATTTGGGGCCACCTGAAGCAGAGAGTACAAAAACGATGTTGCAGTATGTGCATTTTTAATTTTAATGCTCCTACATTGGAATTTTTTTATAGAAGGTGAAGAAAAAAGTTCCTGAAAAAATTGATTTGCTATGACTTATGCACTTCTGACATTGGCTTTGTGTTGATGAAAAATTTTTCTGGGACACAAGTTCACTTAGTAAATTAGGTTTGATTGCAAGGTTTGTCCACTTTATGTGTGTATGGTGTGTGTAGGATTTTGTTTACTTATTCAAATATATTACATAAAGTTGCTGCTAGTCACATGTGTAGTACCAAAATGTTTAATTATTAAATTTGTTTAAATTTGAAATATTTCATTTTAATTTATGCATCATATGTATACTACAATGCATATTGAATGTATTCAGATAGTGACTGTTAGAAAACAAGACAAGTATTTTTGGTATGAAATTATGTCATGTATCATGTGGCAGCCAACACATATCCCCATTATCTTCCCATCCAAACTCTGTACCTTTCCTCTTTGGATTATATCTGTGGGTTTAAATTGGAAGACCCCTCATCAACATGTTCCTTGCAGTTATATTTGGCGATATGTGCCAGGTTCTAGCTTGTCACGCATAGCCCAACCTTTTACCTGTCACACCTGTCACACTTGTGATTAATGCTGCCATTAGGGGAGAACTTCATTAAACAAAGTAATAAGCAGAATTTGAGAGTACCTTTCTTTAAAGCAAAGAACGTAGAACCCCCCCTCCAAATGAAATATACTTAGGTTGCAGATTTAAATTTTAATTTCATAGCAGTTGCTATACCAATACCAATTGCCAGACTTGTTTGTCATTTCATAGATAATATATAAAAGTTGGTTGATTATGTTATCAGCAGTTGAAAGATGTGTGGTTGGCCCTAAACTAAGTTTATCATGAAATTATACATGGGTATCAATTTCTGCTGTAGGTAGTATGGGAAGTTGGACAAATGTATAAAGAATTTTTTAGTTGGGATCTACCTAGAGAGAGGTGGCGGCACTTTTGAGTCAAGTGGAGTGGGTCAATAAATGCTTTTTCTAACTCAGGGGCAGTGATCGATAATTGCTAGACAGCTCAAACATTTTTCATGACGTTAAAAGGCAGCCTGGGTGACTTGGCCTTAATGTCAATCTATGGAAGCTTAATTAATTGCATTTTGGAAATCGCAGATAGCAGTTGTGGACTTGGGACTGCAGAGAAAAGCTTAGCGGCTTATCCAGATATTGTTGACTAAGGTTTTAAGCAGTTTGGTCTGACACCCTAGTATAAAACAGGCTGGTGGGCATTGCACAACATCATAGAGGCAAAATGTTGTCGCCAAATTTTGCTAGGAGAAGGTAAGCTGTGATTTGCTGAAGGTAGAATATGCTCTACAAGTTTTTAAGTTGTTGGCACAAATGTCAGAATATTCTGCAACATATAGATAAGCATAGATTCTATGAAATAATTGTCATGTGGTGTGTTAAAAAATGCTGCCATTTCTAATTTTTATTTTATTTTTAAAAAAATCAGGCTTGTAGCCAGTTATTAACAGAAAGTTTTATTAATTGGACCCCTCCTCCTCCCCACTTTAGAAATTGCATAGAACCTACATCATATTTTGATTCAAAGTGGACCCTTTCTGGACAAAATGGCCGTTCTGAACAGACCCCTACCCAACCCCCTCTTGGGCCTGAATGTTAGATGTACTAAAAAAAATTGACCTGATTCTTCTTAATAGTAGTGTTTCTGTTTCATTAAAGTTTGTTTTACATTTTTATTAAGCTTCCAAGGGATGTTAAGTTGAATGTTAAGTCAAAGCTTTTATGCCAAAAGCAATACCATATAGTGTTATTAAGTGAAATTTCAATTTAATACTAGAGATGATTCTTGATAAATTAAAAATAGAATTTCATTGTGTTATTTTTGGTCGACCCATTACATTTTATATATAATTTTTTGAAAAAAATTATTTTGCTACAAAAACTTGGGGGAAAAGGGATCCTTTAATTGGTTGATTGATTTTATAAAGGTGTTATTTTATACAAGACAATCAAATTTGCTAACATCTTGCAGTGGAAATTGTTATCTACAACAATATTATTTTGCAAATTCAAATTTGCAAATTTGCAACTAATTTAGGAGTGTTTATTATGTATAAAAACAGAATTGCATCTTGGGGGTCTGATATTGAACATGCTTTATTATTTTTACCAGCAGGTGAAAAAAGAGAAAAATGAAAAGCTCATGTGTAAGTTTTGCTTAGAAAAACTGAAATATGATACTAGTCAAATATCAGAGTGCCATGGATATTGATTTGCTATATGTCTGGATAGGATGTCAAAGATAAGGTTTTTGGGTACAGAAATCATACATGTGATACTTTGGTTCATACCTGAACTTTGCTTCAGATAGAAAAAAAGAAATCAACTATGTACTGTTTCAAAAGTTGACCACAACAGCGAATGTCTATTTTAAAAGATGTTTTAAGTGTCATTTATTTTGTAAATAACAAATTTGATGAAATGGCCATTTAACCATCCAGGTATTATTGATCGGACAATTGTTTTAGACAAATTGACTATACATCAAAGGAGAGCAGAATTGATTTCTAATTAAGACAGCCCTTGCTGATTAGCTCATTTTGTGTCTAGTAAGTAGACTGGAAGTGATTTGAATGTAACTTTATGAAAACATGAAGCAATATCTTTTTGATGCTGGACAGTTATGTGAGTGTAATTAGTAGTTCATAATTATCGAGACCAAAGTTATCGGGGCTGATGAAGGTAATTAGTGTGCAGGGGTTAATTAAATTTTCTTGCAGTAAATTTTCTACATCAGTTTGGTGTGTGCATTGATGCATGTGTTTGGGGTCATAAAGCTAGTTGTCAATTTAGATGATCCTAGCTGGAGCTAATTGATGCTTGATTGTTGCAGCTAAAAAACCTATTAGCAGATAAGATAGTCTGTGTAATCTTTTTATCAAAATGGTCCACTAAATGCAATAAAGATATAGCCTTAGATAATTGATAAGTTTTCCAAACAGGAAACCATTTATCATTAGCACTGAAAGAAGCTGTGAATGGAAAGATACCTTACTGATAACAAAATGGCCACATCTCTATTGTATAGCTAACATCTTCTTAGTGCAATATGCAGTCAAGGTTCATTGTATCCTACAGACCCTATACCTGTTGTATATATTCCTGTGTCTGTTTAGAAAAGGAGACATATTGTACTATACCATATGATCTGTCGGGTTTCCTCAGGGGCTAAGGATATGAGCTGTACCCACTGACAGCTGCTGGGTTTAATTTGTCACATGAGTAACCCCCTTCCCATATGTCAGAATATTAGAGTAAGAGGTTGAAGCTTGTGTGGGATGTCAGAGAGAGAGGACTGTTCTCCAAGTTGCGGTAGGTACGTAACAGGACACATTAACAAAAGAATTTGAAAATTTCACACGATTGTTAACTTTTGTCACATCTTAGAAGTGGATAACTTTTTGTTATATCTTAACTTTATAAAAAGTTGTTAACTGAGAAGCTATATGTGTGGGTGAGTCAGGGCTGTATGATAGCAGTAAAGTAAAATAGTGGACACCTGTAAAAACAGAAAGGCTTGTAACTAGCAATTGCAAAAGGGTGTTCTTTTTCTGAAAAGGTGCAGCTTTTTTTCCTTTTTTTCATTGTCTTCTTGAGAAATAGCATAAAACAAATCAAAATTTGATTCTTAGCAGACATTTTTCTTGCTAAAGGGGAGGTTCAGTTGTTTGAAATCTCTGCCTACAGACCTGTACAGTGTTTTTCTTTAAATGCATTATGTCAATTTTTAGTGATTGAGCATTTAGAGTTTTTGATTAACATATCTTCCCAAGGAAAAGTAGATATATGACTTTAATCTTGGGAAGTGTTGTGAGGTGATTTGATAGACAGGTGTTGACCTAATGAAAAGGTATGGCAAGGATTATCTTAGGGTGTGATAACGAAGGGATTATTTATCTCCACTCTAATTACTTTGTTTTGACAGTTACTAGAAGTATTGTACCTGGAGACTTAGAGGCTACAAAACTGACCAGTGCCCCTAGGGAATGGCTGGTCAGTATCTGGGTGGGCACTGGTCATAAGGGGAGGGGCTGTTTTGATTTAATATGTCCAGTGTGACTGACAGCTACCATAATGTACGCAGATCATTTGTCTACTAAAGACATGTGTTATCTCTCCCGTGGTTGTAAAGGAAATGCAGTTTTGTTGTATAGACTTAGGCTTCGTTCACATGCAATG